AATTAAGACCATGGCACGGAAAAGACGTGCGTGGAACCAATGCCGGTGGTCCCAGAGCTCTCATGACTACGAGGTGTATGCTGAAGTACGTGATCAATGCAATCTGGCAAGAAAGCAAGACACCACAACGCATCAGAGACAATTCCTATACCGAGTCAGAGTGGACCCAAGGAGTTTCTATAGGGACATCTTCCTGATGACTCATGAGAAAACTGGGATCACAGATATCCGTCGCGTGGACGGGTTCCTTACGGACGGCAACAAGGGTGCAGCTAACACCCTGGCCGAGTACTACTGCACGGTATCAAGCCCAGAATATTTTAGTCGGACAGGCGAGAGCGGTCGCCCTGCAGAAAAGCCGATATCCAGTAGGTCTATGGAAACAGTGTCGTTTTTCCCGACACAGCCTAGATTAACACTGATTATTGTCGCGGCTGGACCTTGTAACGGCTGGCGCCATCGGAACGCTGCGATGTGTGGTAACAAGTGCTTTATGAACTATTTTTAGCGGTGTTGACTATTGCTTACGTACGAGGGCAGCAAAATACAGTTGACCAGTAGCACTGCCAATTTTGTCTCGTTTCAGACACCATCGGAAAAAGAGTAACACAACTACTCCGAGGACCTCAGTCCGNCGTCACCGAGCGGGAAACCTACCACCAGAACGCGGGCTACCAGAAACTTCAGTTCCCAAGCCCGTCAAGATGACACAGTATTCCGTAGAACAGCCTGTACGCAACGTATATAAGGCAGCCCTGCCTCGCTCCAGTGGAGACGGCAATGTGAGCAAAGCTTGCCACAGGCCCTAAAACCGTTCTGAAGCGAGACGATGCAACTCACCGAAAATGAACATGCTTCTCAGGTGCTTCATTCCTCAACGGCTTCGTATTGCTGTCACATCGACAGAGTGGAAGGCCGCGCGAATGTCTAAAAACACAATAATGGTTGGTTCATGGTCGGTGCTGTAGCAAATATCCGGGATTGACGCGACCAAGATCGACTGGAACCCCAGTCTGCTCTTCACTTATTTAGGGCTATCCAGCTTTCCACCATTGACTGAATGGGTGACCAAGATATGAACGAAAAACATAAGAAGTTCCCATGTCGGTAGCATGTTCCATCAACGATATGCGTTGAGTGCACCAGACTCGGCGGGCTTTCTGTATGTGTTCGCCGAGTTTGTCTCGTTACGAGTCGCGTCCCGCTATGCTTGATGCCTACCGGAATTGATCGGTGCGTTTAGGTGTGCACACCGTAGAAATTCACGGTGACACGATACGTGTCAAACCACAATTAGGCCAGTGGAAAGCAGAATTGGTATTTGCTGGAGTGTCCATGATCAGATTTTGGGCAACTGCTAGTTATAGGTGGCAGCTGTTCAACTTAATGCTACCATAGAGGAGTCTCAGATGATTACATATATTTACTTATTTCGATAAGTGCATTCAATTCCGTTGGACACCGCTGATTACTTCATTCGGCTGTTCACTTTCATTTTCATTGCAATACTTCAATATAACATTAACAATACAGATATATAAACTACACATTCTCCAGATGTCCGGTTGATGACTAATTTTCAGTCATGCGAGGAAATACAAATGAACAATTATTCAAGCTATTGCACTTAGTCCAAAGTGACAATCGCGAAGGTTGCTCTCGACTTACTGTATCCATAATGTCATTTTCAACCTGTCGAACGATATGGGTGTCCATGTCCGGATGTTTCTGAACTTGAGTTATACGAAAATCTGAGTCTTTCGTGATAGTTGACTAAAAGTATAAATGGTAAAATTCACTTTAGGACCGTATTTGATATCATTCAGTAGGAAAAAGATTCGTTAAAACAAGGAGGCAAAACGCCGCCTATTTGTCGTCATCATCAAAGGCACCCGTTGTCTGTGAAAGCAGCTGATGAGCAGCACAAAACGAAACCTGTGACATTGTACAAACCAGCTTTAAGACATCCCGGTTCGTCACGAAGTAAGCTGCATCTCAGGTGTTCTATAAAACAAGCCTTGCAAATTGAAAGGCTTGAAGCCAGACACTGGAAATACAGCATCTTGGATGCACGGTTGGAATTATTCATTTCCCTTTAAATGTGAATCAACAATAACCGAAATTGACATTTCCAAATCACAATGCGTTCAGTGAGTGCTTAGGCGCAGCGCTTTAAAAGTGGTTTGGTGGGCAAACATCTTCAAAACAGAATACAACAAAAAATCATCGTTCACCGAAGAATACATACAGACAACGCCTCAGCAGACTGAAACTTAGTAATTTCGTAGTGCTCTACAAAGTGTTTTGAGCTATACAATTGGCAGGCAAATGCGGCTTAGTAATATATATAGATATACGGTGGTAAACGAAAAAACCATCACCTTGACGTGGCGGCCATCAGCGGTAGTTTCATCGAATTCTTCACCAAACTGAAATGAGACTTCAGTAGTCTTAAACGTAGATTCCGTCTTCATGGTTAGCCCATTTTCACCAAATTTACTGATTGTCACGACCGGTTTTGTATTCTCCGCAATCTTCCTTGTCATATAGCCAACACCTACGAATAAAAAGGCACAAACTTGACGTACCGAGTTCTTTCATCACTTTATCGAAATCTTTGGATTCCACTAATTTCCACCTCCCGATGAAACCAGACATGAGGATCAGGCGAGCGAATATCGAAATCGAACTACCGCTGTTTAATGCGGACCTTGAAATTGTTCAATGACCTGAAGTCAGTGCAACAAAACACCAGATTGATGTCTTGTAGTGACTTGCGAGTTCAAGGCTGTTGCCAAAATTTCCCCGGTCTTGGAAAGACTGCGCTGATTTCTTTTAGATCAAACGGTTACAGCGAAGCCACTCCAGGCTGCAACGTAGTCTTGTAAGACTGGACATTCGAGCCAAGTTCTTCACAAGTCGCGTAATACCTTACTGGAATAGTCTGCCAGAAAAGGTGGTAAGTTGCTAGATCGTCATTGCCTTCAAGAGGGCATTAGGTGACTGTTGGGCTTCTACGTTCCCTGAAGCAGTTTGATGGTAAGTACCTATTATTCCTGAGCGCCATTGCCCAGGACGTGATACTGCACCTTACTTTCTGCCTTTCAGAAANAACTGAACTGAACTGAACTGAACTGAACTGAGAGCAATGTTTTTCACTAACAGGGTAATTCCGTTGTGGAACCGGTTACCGCTGTCGGTGGTAAGGTGCAGTACTGTGAAAGCTTTTAAAAAGGCACTTGATGAGTGTTGGATAGCGGTTTTCCCCGAGGTAAGCGTTTAGTATTATTATAACCTAACCTCAAGCGATGTGATACTGCACCACATATTTGTGCCTTTCAGAAAATTTGCATATCAACGAAACTCGCCGACAACACACAAATTTGGTCGCTCGATTGGCAAGAGCTACAATTCGTCCTGTGAGAACTGAAGTGAACTGTTCTGGTTGCCCCGTTCGAATCGAAAAGTAAAATGAAGCAGTTGCTTCCTTCGAGTAATCTCAAAATTCGGTAGTGTTTTGAGCTAGCCACCATTTATTTCCTTTGATGTTTGCTTATCGTTGTGAAGCAGTTGAGATGTTTACACTTGGGAATACATGCGGTGGTTTCAGTGGCTACAGTGGAATGGTTAGGCCAGGTCAGGCCACAGGACTTTAGGCTTCGGCCAGTGGACGTCTAGATGTTTGCATTTGTGAGCTGATGTGTTCTACTGTGTCACGACTGCCAGATAGTTCCACAGTTATTTGTTGGATGATGCACATACAATCCAAAAAAATGTTAAACGGGATGTAGAGAATTATAGCATGCTTGCTGACAGAGTCAATTTTGGGTATGAAAGTTTCGAACTTCGTTCATTGACCGATCGACAATTCAAGTGCCTCATTTTCAGCGGAGCACTACAGAACACAGAAGATATCGACATTCGTACCCGTTTATTATCCAGACTTGAGCAAGACCCGGATATGGACCTGAAGTCTCTTATTACCGTGTAGTGTCTTACATTTCTATCCACTTTATCTGACCTGATTGTACAGCTTGTTTTAATAT